TTTTTTTTTTTTTTTTGTCAATTTTTTTTTTTTTTTTTTTTTTTTTTTTTTGTTGAGGGGTGGAGGAGAAGGAATAGGTAACATCGAAAGCGCAAATATCTAGAAAATCTCCATTTTTTCTCCTCTTTTCCTTCTCCTTTCCGCGCGTCTCCCCGGCGAACAAGAACGAAAAAAATTTTTTTACCTGCGGATTATCGAGAAATCCAACAGAACGAAATATTCACCACCTACGTTTCTAGATATTTAGTTTTCGGTGCGCTCTTATATATCGATGTGAACGTGTGCGTTTTTTTTTTTTTTTTTTTATACCGTTTAGAATATCGAACATATATATAAGACTGCTACACACACGCCGCTCGGAAAAACATATACGCATACTACATATCTCAATCCCAGTTGTGTGTGTGCATCGTTTCAGATTTCAAAAACTTGTACTCCGCTTTAATTTTAAATATACTATTTCGTTTAATTGTTCACTATCTACTCTTTTGTTCTTTAAATTGCTTGCGCGCTTTAATGGACTTTTAAATACGTTTTATCTCTGTTTTTTTTTTCTCTCTCTCTCTTTTTATCCGAACTGGGATCTACTTCGTTAGCTTTCACCCGTGTGTGTTTTCGGGCGGTACGTTCGAATATTAAGTAGTTCAGCAGTGTTATATAGAGAAATCTGTGCGTTTCAACGACTGAAAACTATATAAGATATCTCAGGTAGTTATATGCGAGCCCGAAGGAAATGCCTTTACTGCGCTAAGTGTCTAGATTTTTTATTTGTTATTACGAGATTCGTTCGCGCAATTTACACGATCGAAAATTTTTCGTTTTCCCGACTCGTATCCCCGAATTTGAAAAACCATACGTATGATTTATGCGAAAACAATTGTATAATCGCATAAGATCACACAGAATCATACAAATATAATCTATAGTGTAACTGTGTAGTAAAATTGATCAGTCATGTTCAAAAATAAGTTTTTCTCAAACCGATTGTTTCCTTTGCCACACCTTTGGGTTTGTCTTCTCTCATCGATATTATAATTTTCTTCAACATTCTTTTTGACAAACACTATAAATATCCTTTTATCGGATAGCATCCTATTTGTACATATACTATTATATGTATATATGTTTTTTTTTTTTTTTTTTTTTTTTAATCCAGTAAGAAAAATTTCTGATTTGCGTTTCACACAGGTTTTACATTTGTTTTAAGTTTGAGAATTTAAAGTGTTTTTGCTTTAATATAAAAGCACGTAATTTTCTGACGAATGAAGAGTCAAGTAAGATTGACATTTTTTAGATTTGTCTTGTATTATTTGCAAATTACACACAGAGTAGAACAGAGAAACGCAGTATTCCAAATATTATTAATACATTTAAATATTATTAATTGTACATATACCATACGTGACACAAAAAAAAAATATATTTTTTGCAGTGACTGCAATTTTATTACAGCTTGTAAAAAATTCTTTTTGTATGCCACATACGCGATTCTAAAATTAAAAACGTTTTTTGATCTAGTGCAAGGTGAGTGCGATCGAACACACTCACACTGATATATATCTGATAATAGTAATAGAAATAAGTTTTAGTTTTAAATAAAAATTTCCGTTTTAGTACTGCATCACAATAATTTATTGCCAATCGTTAGACTACCGATTTGTAAAGAAATCGCGAACATGATTTGATGTTCTTAGTTATTTTTATTTACATATGACTGTACACTAAATTATAGAATACATATACTTATTATACGAAGATATTAGGGATAGATAAGTTTGTGATAAGTTTATATAATTTGGAAAACATTCATTGACACACGTCGTTCTTTTGAATGGCAATCTTAGGAATTAAAGAAAATTTTTTTTTATCACAGAGACACACACACACACACACACAAACGCATGCGGAGAGCTTTATTTTTAATGAAATTATTTCAACGAATATTATCTAGTATGTATGTGTATTTTATGTGATCATTAAATCCTTTTGCAATTAAAATCTATCCGAATGCAATCTTTTATATTTACCTCGTTTATCTTATTGGCGCTTATGGCTAATTAGAGAAAGTAAATTGTTTTCACGATTAAAAGACAAAAAAGTAAAATGATATAAAGCAATAAGGTTTATTACCTGATATAAGTTAATTACATGATACATTATGATTTTTATACATAGTATATAGGTATGTATATATATATATATAGGTATATATACTACCTATACATGGAAATACAATTTTTTGTATAAAAGACATGTGAAACTCTAATATAATACTTTGTTTATTTACATGTAAAAATTAATAAATAATCGCATCGCGCATTAAATTCAAAATTCTGCCCATTGAAATTTGTGTAATATTCCGAATTAAAAATTGACACAGTGATATTTTATCCGTTCCAGCCGCAAACAACGTGGGCAATCATCAAATACACTGTTATTGTTATGGTACTTGTTATCATAACAGGAAATCCTACTCTAAAATACACATTGTTTAAAATTATGTATAATTTACAAAACATTTATTGATCAAAACGAGGAACGAGTTTTTTTTTGTTGTAATATCGCGTGTTTTTACTCACTTCAAGAATTCCACGAAACCGAGTTTGTAGCCGTGCTGCTCCGCGACACCCATACAAACAACGTTGGCAGTAGCTCCAATCAAAGTTGTATTTCCTTTATATAAACATAACTTCAGCTAAATGCTCAGCCATACAAGTACCAAAACGTCTAACGCTTATCAATAAAGCGCGTGAACTTGAAAATGCTAACATTTTGGTACATGGCTTATCTCTTAATGGTATTTAAAAAGTTTCTTACCTCCCATACACGCGCCAAAGGACAACGCCCATATCAGAGGTTGCATCGGCAAACCAAGCTCGCGATTCTGCGCAAGATTCGTCGCAATTCTCACCATCATAGTGGCAAGTGGTACGTTGTCGACGAAGGCGCTTGCCAAAGCCGATATCCAAAGCAACAACACTATGGCAACTGCTAACCGAGATTCCTCATTGACTGTTAAAATAAAAGTTTCAGTTTGTTTTCCAATCCATGTGATAAGACCCAAACGCGAAAGAGCCTGTGTGATGAAAATTTATTTTTATAACAAACATGTTAAATTTCCTGTGTTTTTTTTCCAGTCCAACTACAAGAATTGCACAAAATATTACCTCCATGAGAATAAACAATGATGCAAAAAATATTAAAGTGCTCCATTCGACGCGTGCCATGAGACCGTCGAAGTCCTCATTGTCGGCTACTATCAGTAGCAGCAGAACGCCGATTAAAGCGATCCAGCCCAGAGATAAGTTCAGTTGAGGCAAGCTGTGCAAGAAGAAGAGCGTGATCACAACAGTCAGCACGAATCCCGATTTCACTAGTAACCACTTATCTCTGATAGGATACTGCCAATGAGAAAAAAAATACTTATTTAAAAAAAAAAAAAAAAAAACACGCAAATTGCTAATGTTGCGATTGTTGTAACGACAAGATAATCACAGAACACACAACAGATGATCTGTAAGTGCTCACCTTTTCCTGCAATTCCTCAAGCGTGGTCTTGTAATGTTCTAATTCCACGCTTCCTGTTATTAACTTCTTCTTCAACTGCGACAGTAGACGTTGCACTTTCTTCAGCAACGTTTCCCTCACCAGATTCTCGTCTTTGCTGTAATTGGATAAACTCGCCGCCGCTCTTTGCCACACCGCAATCATGTGTCTCAATTCCTGCAAGAAATAGATTTTGTGTGTATGTTTGTACGTTAAATTACGCACATATGTGTTAATTGCAAATAATTATGATAAACGCTTTATATGAAAAGAAAAATTTTGTGAAAATTTTCTAAATGTATATACCTGTACGTCTCGCGGCTCATTAAATCTAAGAACCGTGACATCTCGGAATATATAACGAATCTGTACGGAAACAACGATCAACACCAGTATCACTCCGATACTCATGTGCAAGGTGAAGGTGCCAAAGTCGATCTCCTGCAACGATAATTACCACGTTAATAACAATTAGATTGAAGATGTTTATTTCTAGTGCAAACTTACAGCGCTTCTAACATCCGAATTCGATGCTATGATGACATTTGGCGGATCGCCGATTGGCGTCATGGCGCCTCCGATGTTGGAGTAAACCACCATAGCGGTCAAGATCGGTACGGGATTCAGTTCCATCACCTCGCACAGTCTGATGGTTACCGGAGTCAGCAGCAGCACGGTCGTTACGTTGTCGAGCATCGACGACAAAAACGCGGTAAATATGCACAGAGCCATTATCAGCGGCCACAATTTGCCGCCGGTTATCTAAAATGTATAATACAATTAAAAGTAAAATTATTTCATTATTTTTTAAGTTAACGAGATTTTAGATGATTTAGATGATTTTTGAATCATTTTTTAGATATTGTTATGCTAATAGTTTTTTTTTACACCTTGTAAGCGTAGACCGCTAACCAATCGAATACGCCGGTCTCGGCAATGATAGCGACCAATATCATCATAGAGAAAAGCAACAGCAACGTGTCCACATCTATCCAAGAAATTAGCTCCGCCATACTTGGTCGCTATAAAATCATTGTTCTCTTTAATTAATATAATTGTACGCACATATGTTGTATATTTGTGCACACATTTTACAAATACCTGATCAAAAACCGCCAATATAGCGATAGACATCGTAGATGCTAACATAGCAGCTACAGCTCTGTGTATAACCTGAGAGATTGTTCATGAACTATAATATAAACTTTGTATTCAAAATACAATTTTAAAGAAACATTTTTTAAAGTGAGAAAATATTTGAGTGTGAGAGAAGTGTTTCATATGAATTTGTGTGTGTGTGTTTGTGTATGTGTATAATTACATCGAAAATTATCATGATGTACAAAACAATCAGGACGCAGGCGGCGTATATTAAACTAATGTTATTCACTGAAGACAAATCGTAAACTATCGAAAGTGACAGACTGGACGTTGAATTTGTACGCAACTTGATGTACAGTATGCCGTGTGACAGTATCCTATAAATAAATTCAAATATTGTGCAAATTATGCACATAGAAAAGAACAGGAGAAGAGAATGTGCAAATATGAATTTTGAAAGAGAGACGGTTGAATTGAACAAGAAAGAGATCAACGAATGAGATATTGAATAAAAAAACGTACTCGCTGTCGACTTCAATTTTGAAAGTCTTTTGACGCCTCTCGTTGGGAAACAAATCCATCATGGTGTCCGGTATTAAAGGCAACGACCATGTATCACTCACTTTCTGAAATTTAGCAGCATCGAAGATCAATTTACATCTCTTGCAAAGATATATACGCTTATAAAATCTCACAAACAAATTATTCAACAAATTTAATTTTTGCGACACCTTCGAAATAGCATTGAGAGTCATTGAGTCGGTGCTATTGTCATCCGTTAGAACTTCCAGCCATATCAGTAAATAGCACATAGACAAGTTCGTTTGTTGTTCATTTTTAACCGATGGCAACAGCGGCCCTTCGATCGTTACACCGACTAGATTATTCGCAACAATGTCGCGATCGGTAAGCTGGATGTCTGAATATAATCTCGTTAAGGATATTTCAGTATTTAGACAAAAAAGAGAATTTTGATAGAATTATTTTTTTATCTCGTATGTTTGTGCGCTTTTCTTTCTTGAGGTTTTAAATTGATCGATTCGAAAGGATACTTCTAGTTTTTCCGCTAGAAACAAAAAGGTGGCGCATTGTTGCGACTTTTTCGCTTTTGAACATCAATATTATCTGTAACGGAACAACGTGAAAAAGTGATCTACGTATAAAGCAACACGACAATACGGTGGGTGATGTAGTTTTTTTTTTCTTTTTTTTTTTTTACCGTAAATAGTAGCCAAAAGCAAGAGAGTATAATTAATTTCGAATAGCGGCAGAACGGCCTCTGCTTCTCCTGCACATCCTGCCCGTCCTCGTCAAGAGTGCTTTGATGCGTATGGATGCTGCGAAAGATAAACGCAATTTTCTTCTTACGTTCGTTATTTCAAAAACAACAAATGCGTGACCACGCGCGCGCGTGATTTCTTTAACAATTTTACCTATTTGATGACGCAGGATGAGGTCTTTCTAGAGACATGTTTAAAATGAGGCAGTTCTTCTTGTCGGCACATCTGTAAATACATTATTATTGACACAGAATATGTGGACCTGTTATTTATTAACAATCTGCTGTGTCCCTGTTTAACTGACAAATAAAAACTTTACGCTATTGAAAACGATACCAGCGTACGTTCAGTTGTAGCGGCTTTTCGTAACAAAAGAATTAAGTGTGTGTGTGTGTGCAAGACACACACACGCACGTTGAGTATATATATATATTTTTGCTCAATCTCTTACTTACCTTGCTTCTGCAATCCGATCGTATTCTTTTTGAAAAACCGCTAGACTGGGATCTAAGCGAATCGCTTCGGGTAATTGACTCCAAGCGCGCAACACCTCCTCAGGAATATGGCCGAATATGACGGAACTCGAAATGGAAGAGCAGGGACTTGAGCTACGTATAACTTCGAGAAGAGATATTCGTACAAATTACATTGGGATTATATACATTTGTAATTTTAAGAGAGCGAAAAAAATAAATTTAATAACAAGGCGTGCGTACCTGAGCTATGACCGAAGTCATGACCAGTTGATAACAAACGAGGCGTTTGTAACAAGTGAGAATGAGGCGTTTGTTGAACGGTTTCATCATCGTCATTGAAATTGTTTTGCACGATCATTCTTTCGTAAGACATTTTATTATCTTATTTCTTACTTTTCGTGTAATTTTTCTATTCACGTTTTGTTGATTTAAATGCAAAAACGTCTTTTATATCGTATAAACTTATCACGTGATCACAGGTAGGAAGAGAGACACGGTACTGCTATATATTTATACGGAAAGGATCACTTTTATACTATTTGAATTCTCAGAGGTCGTTCCATGTAATGTTTACTTTCATAACGAAAATCAAAACGTGATATCAACATCTTCAACAGTTCTAGTGTAGGATTTATGTAACAATTTTATATATTGAAGTGGTGTTGCATCAGCCGTACCGGTTAGATGTGCGTAGTTACGCTTAGGTATTTTTGGACAATTTTCGGTGTTTTTACACCGACTTCTTCAGTTTATCAGTGGTTTTAACGAACATACAACTCCGTGGCTTGTACCCAAACCACGGTTTAGGACCTGTGTCACGATTCCTAGAGACTTAGAATGGCGTATGGACTAGCTTGAAACGGTCCTTTGAGCCATATATGCACCAAACCAAACCAATTTTATATATTGTCCTCGTAATTTTGTACATTTATAAATTTTATATAAATTTTTTATACGTGAATCTCAACTAAATGACTAAGATGGCACGGTTGTGTGATTCGCGGCAAACCAATGAGAGTAATTTATATGCGTTCTTAATTGTGTGAGACGAACACACAGTCATTGAGAAGTATAACGAAGAAAAATTGATTAAACATATATGTGACTTAACAAAATCAATTATAAATTTTATTTTACTGTCTTTTTTATTTTTGTATATCAACTATTCTAATATGGTACAATATAATTGTGTGTGATAATTTACATACACGCAATTGTTAATTCATGTGCGACAAAATATATACATAGACATATATATACAAAGTTTTATAAATTACATGTAAGACAAGTCTACGGACACAGTGGTATCTTGTAATACATGTGTACACGGTTGAGCTGACGCAACTCTCAAAATGTTCTCTGGATACGGCATTTGTTAAAAAAAAAAAAAAACCTTTGGAAAATTGAACAATACGTTGCGATACAAAGTTCGCGAGCGTTTCTTACGCACTACTGGTTGGCTGTTTGTCCTCGGTGGTGATTTTGTCCACTGATTGAAAATGCATTCTTATATTGTTCATTTCGTACTTTTGTACGGTATAAGTGTATCGGCACCAGATCATGTGAACGGTGGCAACGCTCATCCAGGATCCCACGGCCATTCTCGTCGCCAGCATCGGGCGACTGGTTGCCATGAAGGTCACCAATCCGGCAGCGAGACCGCTGTAGATGCCGTACAACATGCTGTGCTTGAAGCAGGGTATGGTCCTGATGTCACGGCCGAACAGCATCACCGGCTTGTTCGTGTCGAATTCCGGCTCCAAATTCTTGGCCTCGGTATCCATAATTGCAATCCTCTTGCGTTCTCGGTTAAAAATACAAGAGGAGGTTAGACACCGTCTCCCTAAAAACACGAAATTGAGGTTAAGTCAAAATTCATTCGTTTTTCTTCCACACTCTCACACCGGAATCGACGAGAGCTGGGAACGCGGGGTGCAAAGCGAAAACTACTTTACCTTTCGCCGCGACCGGACCGAGTAGCTGTCACTTCCGCGGGATCGTTCGAGGGCGCTACGAGTACAAAATTCAATAGGAACAACACGAACGCCGCTGATTGGCCGCGGACGCCCGGTACGCGGCGGGAAGGGGAGTCACCGGGTGACACGAGCACGACGCATGTTCCGTACTATCGAATCCGAGTGACAGGTGGTGCGACGCGCTTTAATCCGTAACTACACACACTTCGTTCGTGGTCGTCGTCGTGGGTGCGAGAAACGCGGTTGTCCGTTGAAAACGCCGTTTTTTTTTTACCTGACGTCTTGCGTTTGAGAGACGACAAGCAATAGCGTTTCTTCGGCGTCCGATCGAAAGGGACGGGACGACGTGCACACGCGTGAAAGAGGGAAGAGGAGCAACGTCATCATCATCGCCGCGAGTAAGATACGCGTCGCGCTGATAAAAATTTCTCGTTTTGTTTCGATCCGCGAGACACCACTGTCCGTCCGTTTTTTGACGTGCAAATCGCGGTGACATGCTCGCACGATCGTCGGTGCGTCGTCAGTACTCGTAGGTGTTCCCCCCGCGTCCAGGTTCCTGATGATGTATACCACGTACTCGTTCGACTTACCCGGAGGATTCAGCTGCAGAAGAGGTGAGCGCGTTTCTCTCTCACATCTTTCTTTCGTTCATCCCTCGAACGTGTGTGTTGTTTCCGCGTATATTATGTGCGCACGATTCTTGCATCGCGCAAAACCCTTAACCTCTCATCCGATCCGAAAGAAAACGAATCGAAGTAATTTTTTTGCGTATCCTTAAGAATGTCGTCAAGAAATCGCGATTCTCGTCCTACGCGCGACGAAGTGAAATTTCTCGAGCGACAGTTTGATATTTGTGCAAAACGATTGTTCCGTGTGTGTGTGTGTGCGTGTCTCGTGAAATAAAAGTCACGCGTGTATATTACGTTGGGAAGATTCAAGCGACACACGTTACGTCATCAAACGTATCGTGTAGCGATTTGACGCGAGTTGCGCTTCGAAGGGATATAAAGAGCGAGTACGAGAAAATGAGATGCGGCATTCTTTAGCGATGTCGTCTCGTGTTCACGGGGAGCGCACAAACCCATTTTTTCTAAATCTTTATTTTATATACACATTTACATTAATAAATCTTATTTTATGTATTATATTACTACACCGAAAAAATTATATTCTCGTAAGTAGAAGATTTTATACTTAAAAAATCTTCTTAAAGATTTTAGATGATATTCTTCTGAAATTAAGAATATATTCTTTATTTAAGAAAATATTCTTAATTTAAGAATAT